CCATACTGGTTCAGACCAGCTAGCCCGTGTCTATACGTGGCAGTTCGAAGTAAAGCCCTAACTCGAATTAGCTGTTGTTCTTCCTGGAATGAGATTTAACAGCTAATTCATGTAGATGCGGGCAGTTATTCCGGGCTAGTCAATTTCTAAAATGGTGACCACCTGGGAACATGCTAATGAAGCGCGGGATATTTAAATCCCGCGCTTCATTTGCAATTTTGGTCGCCCTCATTAGCCTCCCTAGTTCGAACGAGGGGGCTAGTGTAGACATACCCACAGAGAATTGGTGGAGCACTGTATTGGATTGGTATAAACTGTTTGGGAAGGATAAGCAAGGGATAAAAGGTGGAGGAATTGTGTTGTATGTAAAAGAGCATTGTGATTGCTCAGAGCTCCAATATGAAACTGGGGAAAAGCCTATTGAGACTTTGAGTTAAGATTTAAAGGCGAGAGCAACAAGAGCAGTATCATGGACATCTGCTATTGATGACCAAACCAGGAGGATAGATGAGGCTTTCTTCAAACAGAAGTTTTCAGATCATAGGCCCTGGTTCTCATGGAGGAAGGACTTCAATTACTCTGACATTTGCTGGGAGAGCAAGAATTTCCTGGATTGTCTGTGTGCTGCTGTATTGGAGAGTGGTGGAGACAACTTCCTGGTGCAAGTGCTGGAGGAACCAACCAGGGCTCATGCTTCTCTTGACCAGCTGCTTACAAACAGGGAAGAATTGATAGAAGTAGGTGGCAACTTGGACAACAGTCATCATGAGAAGCTTGAACTCAGGATCCTGAAAATCGAAGAAAGGGATGCAGCAGAATACAGACCTTGGACTTCAGAAAAACAAACTTTGACTCCCTCAGAGAACTGATGGTCAGGGTTCCCTTGGGAGCTAATATGAGGGGGAAAGGAGACCAGGAGAGCTGGCTGTATTTTAATGAAGCCTTATTGAGGCACAAAAACAAACCATTCTAACGTGAAGAAAGAAAGGCAAATATGGCAGGTGACCAGTTCGGCTTAATAGATAACTCTTTAGTGAGTTTAAACACAAAAAGAAAGCTTAGAAGTGGAAACGTGGACAGATGACTAGGGATGAGTATAAAAGCATTGTTCACGCATACATGAGTGTAATCAGGAAGGTCGAAACAATTGAAATTGCAGCTAGCAAGGGATGTGAAGGATAACAAGAAGGTTTTCTACAGATATGTTAGCAACAAGAAGGTGGTCAGGGAAGGTATGGGACCATTACTGAATGGGAAAGACAACCTAGTGACAGATGATGTGGAAAAAGCTGAAGGACTAAATACTTTTTTTGCCTAAGCCTTCACAAACTAGGTCAGTTTCTAGACTGCTACATTGGGCAGCACAATATGAGGATATGGGGAGCGTCTTTCAGTAGTGAAATTACAGGTTAAGGACTATTTAGAAAAGCTAGACATCCACAAGTCCATGGGAATGGATCTGATGCATCTGAGTGTTCTGAGAGTTGGTTGATGTGATTGCAGAGCAGTTGATCATTATTTTTTAAAACTTGTGGCAATTGAGGAAAGTCTTGGATGATTAGAAAAAGGCAAATATAGTCCCCATCCTTTTAAAAGGGAAAGAAGGAGAATTTGGGGAATTTTACATGGGCCAGTCTCACCTCAGTCCCTGGAAGAATCATGGAGCAGGTCCTCAAGGAATCCATTTTGAAACACTTAGAGAAGAGGAAGGTGTTCAGGAACAGTCAACATGGATTCACGAAGGGCGAGTCATGCCAGACCAACCTAATTGCCTGCTATGATGAGAGAACGGCTCCATGATGATGGGGAAGGCAGTGGATATGATATACCTTGACTGTAGCAAATTTTTTGAAATGGTGTTCCACAGTATACTTGCCAGCAAGTTAAAGTAGTAAAGTTTGGATGAATGGACTATAATATAAGGTGGCTAGAACACTGGCTAGATCATATGGTTCAACAGGTAGTGATCAGTGGCTTGTTGTTTAGTTAGCAGCTTTTATCAAGATGAGTACCATAAAAGTAGGTCCTGAGGCTGGTTTTGTTCAACATCTTCATTAATGATCTGGATGACAGGATGGATTGCACCTTCAGCAAGTTTCTTCCAAAGTATAATACAAGCATTGTCCCATTAAGTATCAAAAAAGAGTGTGCTGATTTTTTAAAAGTGCAGATTTTTTCATTCTTAAACATTAAATGTCATTTAATAATTAATTGCATTGTGGCAATGCCTAGAGAGTAACCAGGTTCTAGGCCCCATTGTGCTGGGCACTGTACACAAAACTAAAAAGATGATTCCTCTCCAAAATACTAAGCTATATATTGAAATGGAAGAACCGACTACTGAATTTGAAAAGAAAGAGCCTCTCACTGTTGCCATTGAAATGTACCCATGATGGTAATTTAAGCTCATATTGTAGGCTTTTTCATCAGCTGCATTTCAGAAGTAGTTGGTCAGTCTTCAGCATCCAAAAAATGGCAAAGATCAATTGGGATTTATGCCATAAAAACAGTTGAAAGGAAAGAGTTTTGAACTTAGTAAGAAAGACTGTCATCTTTGCACAAAACAACTTTTAATAAATACAGCACACACAAAAACAGTTTACAGAAATGTCCACTTAACTTAGGACAAACAGACTTAAACTTGCAAGTTCACTATTGTGTAATCCAAACAAGTTCCTGGAGAAAAACTTAAAGAATAAACATGTGTAATAATATTAGATCAGGGAACAGAACGAAGAGCAATAATGGCTACAAAAGCTGTTTCGACGTGATGCTATTGATTCTGTGCCTGCAAAGAACTGCAGAGCTACCTGCAGAAGCTAGCGGTCTCTGAAGCTGTATATAGAAAGGGGTGAGAACTAACATGGACAATACAGGGCATGGGTTATTGCACCAAAAGAAAGGACTCTGGTCCTTTTTGTACCCACAAACTCACTAAAGGGCCTGGGTCTATGTGTGAATCCTGTTAATTTGGAAAAACTACTCAGAAGTTATAAAGTAGTTTCCATACTGTAGTAAAGAAGTGATTGAATACAAAGGGCATATATTGTGCCTAGAATGGGACAAAGAAGATGCTAGATCGTATTGAGTTACTACTTCCAGCAAAATTAATTTGACTATTCACATTTTTACTTTAAATCTATCTTGGTGAATGAAGTTGTTAGTGTTAAAAGGCTGGATAATTATATAAGTCAAATCAAGATAATTTAATTCAGAATGTTGTCAAGGTTTGTTATTTCTCACCCCTATCCTCTCATTCCCCCTCCAAGACCTGTGGTCTTGTTCAGTCAGTTCAGCAGCCACTTAGCATGTTCTAAGTGCACTCAGTCTGGTTTGATTTGAAAATTTGCAGTAGGCTGTTGTGATGGGATACCCAGGATGCCGCCTGGGACTGTGGGACTACTATGCTATACTTATACTATACTTGTCATCCTGGGTTATCTCTCACAATACTTTGCTAGTAACAAGCTGCAAATCCTTTCCAACAAGTACTGTGATCACTCAGCACAAGAGCTAGATTACATGAATGCTTCTAGAACAGCTCATGACTTTTCTGCCCGAGGGCCGCATTAACTATCAAACAGCAGTTCGGGGGCCGACTACACACTTGAGGTCCAAATAAAAAACAATCAAAACATGGATGTTGTTTTTAATTATTTATTTAATATTATTTTATTCAGTTATTATTTAATAACACATTGATACACTACACATGAACACCTGCATTAGTGTGAATGGTGAAATTGTTTCCTGGATGTCAAAATAGCAGACATTTCTGGCTTTAGATTTAAGCGGCGGCTGATCTTGGCAGGATACACGTAAATTTCCGTAATTTTTTTTCCGTAGACAAAAAGGTCTCCACGGGCCGGATGAGAGGGCCTCGCGGGCCGCAGTTTGGAGACCCCTGATTTAGAGAAAGGCACCAGCCAAATCTCTCCAGATCCCAGCTAAGGAAGTGAAAGGTTAATCAGCTAATGGGTCATGCTTACTGGTTCCGGATCCTGGGCAGAAGGCTACAGCCTCACAGGGACCCCCAGGCAAGAGCTCCTCTTGTCCCCCAGCTAGCGGAACTCCTGTTCATCATGGGCCCTGTCTGGCTCACCCCGCCACAGGTTACACACTGGCTCCCCAGGAGCAGGGCAGGCAGCGAAGCCTCCTCCCCAGGAGTGGAGCCGGCATCTCTTGCTGGCCAGGCTACTGGAGAGACAGCGTCTCTGTGACAGCGAAGTCAGACGCCCCTACTGGCTAAGCTCCTGGGCAGGCTTCGTTGCAAGCTCTGCTCATTTAAGCTTATGTAACCATTAAAATTTCCAATAGTTACATGGTTACCTTTGTAAGCGATTTTTTTTTAAACATCCCTAGTTTCAGAAAGATATTTGGGATTCCTACGAGGATGAAGTTCTTTGACCTTTCTCTGGGACTGCATATGTTACATGGTCTCTGGTTAATAGATGTCTAAAGATACTTCTTAGCCCCCTATTGAATCTTGGGAAGACATAAGAGTTGTCTTGTCTCTCTCCTTACTACCCCAAAGCCTATTGACTGCTGAATGGTTGGGGTATATCTGCAATTCTCCACCTTCCATAGTTTCTGCTTTGGCTAATCTCCCCAGTGTATACTAAGGATGTTAAGGACTAGTCGATTCCCCTCCCCTCACCCTTTGCTCCCTCTATGAGATAGAGGCAGCAAGGGGGGCGGGGTGGAAAGGGGATACTTCAAAGTGGCAGCGCCTCATGGAGCCCGATAAGGGCTCCACGCGGTGCTGCTGCTTTGAAAGGCCATGGCGGCATTTTTAGATGTCCAAACTATTTTGCTGAATAGGTTTCCAAATATACCACGTTGCTTCCAGTTCAGATGGCTAAATAAATGGAAGTATTGTGCTTAACAATACTAGGTTTTTACTAATTTATACTTTTGTTGACAGAAGTCTTGTATGACATGTAAGTCTTGTATGTGTAAAAGAATGACATGTTTCTTTTTGTTTTCCTTTTATAATCTAGTTGATGTTTTTTGGAATCTTTTTGTGCCTGGATGCTTTTCTCTATGTGTTCACCCTGCTTCCTTTGCGAGTTTTTCTGGCATTGTTCCAGTTCATCACTCTGCCTTTTTATGGCTTACGGTAAGGTTTTATTTTGTTTTAAAAATAAAATATTGCTATTTTAAAATAATATTTTAACTACTTTAAGTTTTTGTAATTAGCCTATTTAATTTTATGGCCCTATGCGCTTACGCTCACATTGAGAATGGATTCCAGCATTGTCAAACATGATCTCACTGAAACCTACCAAAATAGGAAAGAAGTGAGTGTCAAGACTAATGTAATCACTAACACACCCTTTTGGTTTCCCCATTTGTAGCCCATAACATCATGGTGACACATTTTTCTAAAGGGATGAATTTAATAGCACCTTTAATTCAGTTTTTGTTGATGAGAACATTGACACATTGAGGCTTTGTGTTCAAATGAACACTTAAGACAACATTACTGTGTTGTGAAATCAAGGATAGAAAACCATTATTTTACTTCAGTAAGGAAGTAAATGCTGGGCAGAATGGGTACCTTAGTTCAACAACCAGGGGTACATGTACTGCTGGGGTTATGCATAGGTTTTATATGGGTTGTAGCAACTCATCTAGATATTTGCCTAATTTTACAACAGGGCACGTTAAAATCATTATCCACATCAGTAGAAACTAAAATTTCATACAGACACATGTTTATGCTGCTCTCTGTATAAGGAACCTGACTGATTTGGCGAATTGGTAATGAGTGTAAAGACTTTCACTCCGAGAGCAATAGTTATGAATGTTAATACATAAAAGATATTACCAATTCATAGCCTTTTGCCACTCTGGCTGAGAGAACAAAGATAGAGTGGATGCAGGCCTGTTCAGAGAAATGTGGGGCTTAGATGCATCATGCTTGCTGGGGTTCCTTCCTCTTCTGTTGCCGTTTTTGTACACTGTAGTTAGATGTTTTGGGGTGCCCCAAGTCTTAGGTCCTTAGCACGGTTGTCCCACATTTTCCTCCCTCCCCCCCCCAACTTCGAATAGATTAATTTAACCCTGAAAAGGTAATATCTTTATTTAGACTTTGCCATCTCTTAAGTATATTAAATTGAGAGATTGTAGTATTGGTGCCTCTGCTGCAATAATTCTTTGAATTAATAGAATCTGCACTTTCATAAGCAGATAATCATAATCTACTTTCATAATCTACACTTTCATAATTGTGTTGACTTAGTAATAAAATGGCAGCTCACATTTGTATTGTGTATACACACAGTGTTTTGTAGGTTTGAAATGTTTTACTTTAGAGCATACCTTTTTAACAGAGGGAAAGCTAGTGTTACTATATGAAGAAGATCCCATAGCTTTTAAAATGTTTTCTTGTTTTGTGTTGTGAAATTTGTGTGCACACATTTGGGAAATGTCTAAAACTATTAAAAATGGACGCTAGATGGCAGCCTTCCATGTATTTTATCTTCCAATTTGAGATTAATTAGGGAGGTTTTCATTATGCAAAACAAAGATTTTCTTACCATGTACATCTCTAGTATAGCACAGTTACTACAGTTTATCAATTTTAACTTTTTTCTTCATTACTAATTAAACAACATCCATTCAAATTCTTACAAGAGGAGGTGTAATCACCAAAATCCTAAAATGCAATTCAAGTCTAAAAATGTAATTTAAAAATGGCATTGTGGTGATTTATTCCCTTAATTACTTCCTCTCTTTTTACAAAGTTTACAAGTAAAAAAAAAAAAAATTCCCTTGATGCCAGCCTTGCAGATCTAGCCTGGGATAAGGAAAACAAGCCTCTTCTGCTTATGCATAAACATCTATAATAAATATCTGTAGACTAAATGTTGGTCTTTTAAATGTACCTTTGGAACCCCATTGTCTTCAGCCGTGTTTTACAGGTGTAGACAAGAGCCATTAGTTGAACAATTTGGTCCACTAATTTAACTTGAACTCGTTCTACTATTTTGGCTGTATAGGGCTTAAAGTAGTAAGTAGTAGTAAAACTTTTTTTTATTTCTAATATCAGCTACAATAATTTTCAGTATACCCAAGGAGAAGATTTTCTTGGTGGGAAAGTTGTTATATTCAGTTACTTTTCAAAACCACTTCACTGGAAACACACCTTTCCAAATACATTTAAGTCAGCAGAGTCTACATTAGATTAGACTATCATACATTATCTAATTCATAGATTTTTACATGTGATGACTTTATATACCGTTCACACACAATTCATGTTTACAATACAATGTAATTTTGTTTAGTGTGATATGATGATTCTGTTCCTAGCATGATGAGTTCTCCATTTTACTTTTTTATTTAATAACCACTGATTTGGTTTGGTATAACAAGAAAAATGTAGACTTTGATTCCCAAAATTGTCAGTATACATTTATGTATATGTAGATACTATGTCAGTAGGCTAAGCACATCTATTATTATTGAAGTTGTTGAGAAAGCAAATTGGCTGGTTAACTTTGCCTTGTTCACACCATTCAAGTAGGTGTTCTTCCCTTCAGTTGAAAAGATTTGAGTAGCTCTTCCTTATAGCTGTAACTTGTAAAGTTGTATTCCATTCTGTATCGTAAATAAAAGTGCTCCTCCCTTCATATAAACATTTTCCCCCTCAAGGTCACATCAGATAAGTTGATTAGCTTTCTGTCTCCCATGTCCTCTTGCTCTTCACTTATACTACTTCTTTGTAATTTTACTATTCTTTATAAAAGAGATAGGGATTATTTTTCCATCCTTTTTTCTTTGAAAGAGTCCAAGCCTTTTCTTTTGTATCAGACTAATCTGTATTCATGGTAACATGCATGGTTAAATGCAAAGAGGGAACTGCACATTAGTTTTTATGTGTGTACAGTATTTTAATATCCCTGTGAAACAAAATAGCTGAAACATTGAACAAGGTGTTTCCCATATGTGGGATTAATTTTCTGGCACCATTCAACTTGTTATACCTACTTTACAAATTAAAGAATATAAATTCTTCAACAATTTGACCACTAAGCCATCATTCTAAGACATTTCCTTTGGTCTAGATTTAAATCTGTAGAGCAAATTCTGGATCGTTATTTTTGTTAGAACAACGTTTTAACATAGCTGTACCTTCTCAGATGCTCAAAATTATTGAGGCAACAGCTAATCTACAGAACATTCATAGTTGGTGCAATTCAAGAGTCTGATATGAAGTACAAACTGCCTGTCATTCTTGTACAGCAAAACTGAAAAGATTTTAGTGCTGTTTCCTTTGGGAGTGACTTTGGTAGTTTGGGCCTAATATCTTTTAGATCTTTGTTCCAAACATAGAATGGGTGTCTCACAGGATTCAACAAACCGTTTAGGAAGTTGAGTAGAATTAGTAAAACAATCTTACAAAACTCTTACCTGAAATAATTCCAGAATGTTTTCCTCCTAATAAGAGTCTCCTAAATTCAATAAATCTTTCTTTGTTCTTACTTGCTATTAAATAAATTCTGTATGCTAACCAAGATATTCTTCAGCCACTCTATCATTCTGTGCTGAAACACCAATTCCAATGCAAGGATTTCTGAAAATTTGTTGGAATAAACCTGTTAAGATACTTCTCAAGAATAGATTCCTTGAACTGCACTTATGAAACAATAGTCGGATCTCATTAGTTCAGATAACAGATTTCCTATGCATCTTGATCTTTTGCTTGTAGAATTCTAAGGATATAGATCATTTATTTTCAGCCTAGCATAGCAAAAGACCTAAGAAGAAATGACAGCAAGATCTTTGTTCATAATAATATTGATACAAAGAATTTTAGGATGAAATCTTAAAATTGCACATAATCCAAGACAGTTTTTTAGATATTAGGACTAAAGAAGATTCCATCCAGTAAAACTAATTCTATAATTAAACTATAGAATGAATGACTAGATTATATTACATCTTCGTTCTTCCCTGAAAGGTTTTTCCAATAACCTCAGATTTATTTTTAAGGCATCATTCTAGAAAATACTGAACTAGATTATAAATATTCTCCTGTGGGAAGAAATGTCAATGTCTAAGGTACTAACTCCTTGAAGTGTTTCCCTGAAAGTTCCGATTTGTTCTTTTATGTGGAAATCAGTGGACTTATATTGTAAATACACTCGATAAAGGGCATGTTATTGCTCTACTCCTTTCTTCCTAAAAGGGATAAGTAGTATTAGTTCCAAGTTATAATTTATTTAGCTCCTTTCTAGGCTTGGTTGTAGTAGCTGTATTTATAAAATTCCCTGTTACCCATGTTGGACTTCACTTCTTTCAATGGGAAATAAACAAAGAAAGAACTACAGCATAGAGAGCCTTCTAGAAATACCAAACATATTGGCATTTTTTGTGTGGATCTTAAGAACATAAGAACGGCCAAACTGGGTCAGACCAAAGGTCCATCTAGCCCAGTAGCCTATCTGCCTACAGTGGCCAGCACCAGGTGCCCCAGAGAGGGTGGACCAAAGACAATGATCAGTGATTTGTCTCCTGCCATTCTTCTCCAGCCTCTGACAAACAGAGGCCAGGGACACCACTTCTATCCCCTGGCTAATAGCCTTTTATGGACCTAACCTCCAGATCTTGTTACTCTGATAAATTGTCAGACCTTTTTAAAAAGTAAATTGGCGTTTCCATTACAGACCTAGGTCCAAGTGTAATTGCTTATTTGTTGGGAATGTCTCTCCCTTCTCACCTCATCCCATCCAGGACTAGTTCCAGCCCTTGCACTCACACAGTTTCTTCACTGTCTGATTAAACTAATGAGAAGGCAAATGTGTGTTGTCTTCCATCAGAATGTATTCAAATTTATTCCTTCTAAACAAAAAGCCAAATCCTGTCCATGTGCATTCTGTGTGTGCTACATTAGAAAAGCTTATCAGTGTCAGTGCAGACATCCACCTTTCCTTTCCATAAGAGTACGTTAGTGTAGCAACATTACAATCTTCTCTCTTTCTTTCTCTCTTGTAAATCAGACTGAAGGGAAGAGCACTTTCACTTCCTTTATAGAATGGAATGTGGTGTCACAGGGAACTTCTCCATGGTGAGTAAATCCTGATTTTCCTTTTATGCTATCAGCCAAATTCACATCCACTTGTACTCAGTAAAATGACTGAATACATCAATGGACAACTTAGGTCAATTATTAATTAACATTCTCAGATCAAAAGACACTTGTTATAAATTGCCCACAGCTGAATAGTTCTTTAAAGGAAAACATAAAGGCTTGTGCTGTTTAGTGTTATACTTACTTTCTTATGTGATTTGTGTGTTTGTGGAGGGGTGGGGGCGGTTATGGAAGTAGTTTGGTATATACAGACACTAGGGTTTACATGTTTGTAGGTACAGTATATGTGCATCATTTCCATCAACAAATAATTCTCAGCACTTGCTCTGTTTTGATTATTTAGTACAGTACAAAATGGTTTGTTTTTACTTTTGTATTGTATTCCAGATGTTTCTGTTCATCATCAGTTATATTTTTGCCTGTACTTTATTTTTTAAGCAAATTTTATAATTTAAAATTATAAGAGATTGCTTAAAACTAACTCATTTGACTAAGTACAGTTAGTTAATCTGTATCTCTGGGTGACCACAAGACCAACTTTAGTCTATGGATTTTTGAAAAAGTACCTGCATTTTGGCAGGTGAAAAACACTAAACTGTTTTGTTTTTCAGAAAATTATGGGTATTATGAGAACTACTTAGACTTATTTGCATAATAAACACTTAGCAAATCTACACAGTAAATGTTGACTTTTAATAATAATGCTGCTCATTATTAAAATAAATGTATAAAGTGAAGATTTTTTTAATGTTCTCACGTGGGATCTTATTTTGCATTTATTCTGAGACAGCTCTCCTCGGAGCCTAGAAATCAGGTTGGTTTTATGTTACATTGTTAGTATGGTCTTGTGCTGTGTTGTTTGCATGTAGTTTTCGTGTTTTCAAAAGTGAAGTGCTGTTTGATATTGACAACCTAGCCTCCATTTTGTCCTGTGTTTCAAATAGATGTCTGTGAGCAAAACCCTAATATTAAAAACCAGTTAAGAAAAATTACAAAATGTTGTGTTTACGTACACATGCACACGCTTGAAAATGCAATGACCATGGATATGAGTTACTTTTCCAATACAAATATTAGATGTGTTGAAAATGGCTCTTTAAGGCAGTCTAATCAGGTATTTGTATAAACGTGTAAACACTTGAAATTTTTAGTGGTTACACATTTACATGCAGGAGGTGGGGGCTTGGTGCTTGTGGGGACCCAGTTTTACTGGCTCCCTCTTGCCCCTTCCGCCCTCTCTCCGCTGCCTCCCCATTGCCTTTGATACAATAGTATTAACCGATAAGCCCAGACTTATTGGTTAATCATGTGGTCGAGTACACATTGACATCCCTAGTTTTATTTGTGAATTCAGGCATCTTTTCCAAAACAAAAACGGATGCTGGCTCCTCACACCTTTTGAAGAATTTTTTAAAAATTCATTCTATATACAGACATGTTTGCAGCAAACTCATTTTGGTTTAGTTCTCTGACACTTAATAAGGATATTTTTATGAAAAATAAAATTATTGTATCTTAAGCAGTAGGCTGCTCATTCCTGTTTCTGTTGTTTTATCTTCCTTGACGTAGTTTAACTTGTCTAATTCTTGGATGTGATTATAAATGTTATTAAAGGTAATTGTGTTGACACTGGATACATAAACTTTTTTTACAGCATTACACTTAGTAATGCATAACATTTGGTTTAAAAAAAATTTAATAGCTCTATACAAAATCAGTATATACAATATGTAATTATCCCTGTGTAATATAGGGGTGTTAAATTTTGTTTAACCAGCTAATAGAGTAGTTGATGGAATTTTCCATTGACTACTTGATTAGTTAAGTGGGGAAACAGCAGAGCTGGGTTAGATCCTGACCCCGGGAGCTAACCCCTCCACTGCTCTGCCTTTTAAATGTAGTAACAGCTGCCTGGCTCTTACTGCATTTAAAATCAGAGGCGCAGCGTCTAGGACCAGGCATGAGCTGGGACAACTGATTCCCGGCTTGCACCCAGTTCCTCACAGATTCCCCCTCTGTGCCTGCCCCCCTTCTACTCCTCCCCTTCCTGCCTCTGATAGAGGCAGCAATGGGGAAAAGTGACTAGTCGAGTGGTCACATGACTAACCAATAAGTATATGCTGCTTACATCCCTAATGTAACATCATCAAAATGACAACTTTATAAATCTCAAACCATAATTATTAGTGGGTATGATGTTTGGGGGATGGTTCTGCTGTTTTTGAAGAACAAGAATATACAGAGAATAAATTGGGTGCTACTTTTTATCCGTTTTCACATATGCCACATCATGATAAAATCGTAAACAGTAATTATATTAAGGCAACACATTTTAATATTAGTACAATCAGTTTTTGCATAATTCATAACTTACTGCCCAAAGAATATAGAATCAAAAAACTGAATTAGATTTGAAAAAAGAATTACACTTATTTATATGAGATTATTAGTTATATAAGATAAGAATTTATAAAGCATAATAAACTTTCTAGAATAAAAGCCAATCATTTGCTGCCTAGTATTTAAATGCAACTTCCCTCTTGAGAAAGTTACTGAATGTGTTTGTCATGAGGATTTATCCTCCGAAGCATCAATCAGTATTTGAGATGACAAGATGCTGAATAGATGGGTACAGCTTGATTTTATAATCTAGAGAAATTTTAACAAGTGTCTAGATGTTTCAGTTAAATGCAATACAAAATAAATGTTTTTATTTGGGTTCTATTTTTTATGGTGCTCCCATGAAAGAAATGCTGTCACTTGATTCTCCTTGGGATAAATTTGGTAGAAACTGGTATCCTGGCTTCTCTTGAAAATATTGGCTATATGGAGTAAAATTATGAGTTAAGCTTATTATATCCTTATGTTGTAGATCCTTTATATGTTGTATAAAAATAGCTAAAAATGCACTAGTCAGATTACATATTTGGGATGCCAGAACTCTAATCAGCTTTGTATATTTCATTGATTTGTGGATTAATTATTCTGGATTCCAGTAAACCAGGGTTTTATTGTGACTCATCTTACTCGTGCCCTACCAGTTGTTAAAAAACTTCAGTGGTACAGCTGTTAGAACAAAGAACATTTAGTTCTTTAGCAAAGACAGATAGTAATGCAATATGAGCCTATAGCTGGCATAATGTACAGTACAAGTACTATCAAAATAATAATTTGCTGCCATTGAAATACTCCTGAAGTGTATGCGTTTGTAATTGTTTTCTTCATAATGGCATTGGTGTTTCTGATCTTTTGTACAGGTTTAGACTCTTGTGCTTTATTTATCTCAAAAAATAGATGGAGACAGAAATCTTCCTATTGTATGAGATGCACATAAGGAATGTATTTAGAATGGCTTGGTATAAAACTTGCATACCATGTATGATTGTTTCAAACAATGGAGTTTTAAAAAAAAATCTTCAGAAGCAAAGAAATTTCACCCTATTTGTTCATTTCTGTTGGCAAACTTTGTTCTTTTTCTATAGTTTTGCATTATATTGCACAAGTCAGGGCTGTTTAACTTTGGGCAGGGAAATGGGTATTAATGTAGGTCAGGTCTTAAATGGCTTTTCTTATGTCAGAAATACCATAATTTTTAAAAGTTGCTAATTGTTCACTACCATTCTTTTTTTTTTTTTTCAATTTTAAAGTGAAATAAATTTGAGGGTAAAATAACCTTTACATTCTTGACAACTGAAAAGATGTATTTAATTCATCTGACACTAATGTCATGATTACTCTTTTTAGACTTTGATATATTGCCACTATACATCTGTGGCACCACTATATTCTTTTAAGTACCATAACAAGGTGAAAACCTAATAGTTTGTTAGGACTAAAATACCAAATGAAGACTAGCCTCCTTTGTGTTTTTAAGAGGGTAGTCTCACTTGTAGCTTTGCTTCTGGGCTAGAACCCTGGGAGGGTTTGAGCTCTTGGTCTAAATCATCTGTGGATGTTCACTGGAGAGTGAGCTGTTGAATGACTCAAGACTATCCTTGTTTGCTGACAAATGTAATCAGCTGGTCTCCAGATCTGTCTGGTGTGCATCTTTTGCATTATCCAGTTTTTAACATCTGGCCCAGAGATTTCTCATGGTCTCTTTTTCATTATGCCCCCTGAGTAGCTGCTTTTTTGGAAAGTGGGGCTGTGGCGGGGAGCTTGATACAAACTTAATTAAACATATATTTATACAGCAAAAAGAGTGATAGTTCCTGGACACTGACTTACCATCACTCAGAAATAATAATAAAGTAAAACAGTGATTGGACATATCCTCCATGAATTTATCTAGTTCTTTTTTGAACCCTTGTTGTAATCTTGGCCTTCTCAACATTCTCTAGCAAAGTGTTCTACAGGTTAGCTGTGTGAAGAAATACTTCCTTTTGTTGGTTTTAAATCTGCCTATTACTTTCTGTATCAGAGGTAGCAGTGGGGGGGTGCCAAGCGGGAGCCAGTTTGTGAGGGGGGCCAGTTTAAAAACCAGCTCCCCACACAGATTGGCTGCTTGACACTTCATGCTGCTGCCTGTATATATACAGAGGTGCTGTATACAGAGGCAACAGCATGGAGTGGCAGCAACCCCTGTCCCCAGATGTCTGAGCTCCCCGTGGATTGAGGCTGCTCCCAAGGGAAGGGTGGTGAGGGAGTGCGGGGAGGCTGCCATGAAGCAGCCTCTGTCTGCGGCAGCCTGGGTTGGCTGTGGACAGAGGCTGGTCCAGCAGCTGCCCCCTGAGCTCCTGCCTCTGTCTGCAGGGAACTCGGACCCCCCCACAGACAGGGGCTGCTGCCGCAAAGCAGTATATTAATTACATTTGATGACCCCCTCCTTGTGGTATCAGAAGGAGTAAATAACACTTATTTACTTATGCCCCATCTGTCATGATTTTATAGACTTGTATCATGTTCTCCCCCGTCATCTCTTTTTTTCAGCTGTGGTCTCATTCTTCGTAATCTTTCCTCATATGCAAGTTGTTCCA